GCTTTAGGGTTTAGGGTTGGGGTATGCAGCTACTTTTTCTAGATCCAATTCCTTATCTATAGAGGCAGTTACTTGGGGACATCCATTTAATTGTGTTATTCGAGCTATAGTCTAAATTCCATGAAGGGGGTTATATAGGGGATTATATAGGAGACTACTATAGGGCGAATTAAGGGGGATACTAGGAGTTTAGACTATAGCTCATATTCCCCCCCATATAACCCTAAATAATCCCCATATACCTTATTCTAACATAATAGTTTCCGTTTTCTTTTCCATTATCCCTATATAACCCCAATATGTACCCTATAATCCCTATATGTTTTCTTATTTGGCTACCCAGGTTTGCCCCAGAGCCACCTTTGAAGGCCTTCGTAAAGGGCCAGGCGGATATCCTCATTGGCATGGTTGCTGGGTTGCCCTTTGGGATCTTTTTTAATTTCCCCTATTATTTTGCAGAGAACCATTATAGTAAATATTTTTCAAAGGGCTTAAAGGGCAACCCAGGTTGTCATCATCAACGTTTGTTTCATGATTGTCCATGCCCAGTGGATTCTTGTCTGGAAAGGAAAAGGATTTTGATCTTTCAGGGTCGTATACAGCCCAAGAAAAATACGATAACTAAAAGGTTGACAAAACTATGTTTCCTCTTTGGATCCTCCTTATCAACTGGCCCATACAAATGTGTAGGACGTGCGAAAACCGACCACACCTAAACCTGAAACCCCAAACCCCAAAACCTAAACCTCAAACCCTAAACCATCCTAAACCCTAAACCCAAACCTGAGGATTGGGACCTTCGCTGATGAAAGCGTGGGATTAGGGGACCAGCCCTGGCAGGGTGTCACGCAGGAGTTCCTGGGCCATCGCTTGGACATGCTCTAGACTCTAGAGTCAGGGGTACGTAGTAAGTGGGTTAACAATCGGGGTAAACTGGGATTACTATATGGGTTATAGGGTTGCAAGTAAGAGGAAGTACCATGTTTCGACTGCACTTTTGGAAAAAGGGGTGATTCTTGTTGTGACCCAACTCTGCATCACTGAAGGTTCTTTGACATTTCCGAGTATATCTTCTTCGCCTTGTACGTGTTGGATGTTGGAATGCGTATCCTTGTGCTGCGCAAAGAGTGGTGGTACGACCCGCTCAGGGGACGAATGTATTTGAACGTGTTCGACGCAGTCCTTGTCTCCATCAATTTCCTTGAGCTGTTGATTATTCCCGCTATTGTGGGTGATGGAAGCCAGCTCAGCGCCAATCAGATCCGACTCATCAAGCTTTCACGCGTGGCACGAACTCTACGAGTCATTAAGTCATTGTCGCTTTTCAGGCAGCTGCGACATCTTGTGGGAACATGTATTGCGAGTGTGGGTGCTATGTTTTGGTCCATTGTCTTGCTGGTGCTGTGCCAGCTCACGTTCGCCTTGATGGCCTGCCAGGCACTTCAGCCTTTCATCATGACCCTCGGCTATTCTACAAATTAAGTTAAGGCCTTCAAAACTTGGAGGTCCGTTTAAAAACATGAAATCAAATCCCCGTTTTGAGGGCTCTACTTTTAGTGAAGCTACGGTTGTTCTGGAAGGTTGTGTGAGTTGTTTAGCTGCTGGAACACTCCCTGGAAGTCAAGCTGAGCATCCACCTACAGAGCTACCCCTCTGTGGGGTTCTGGGATGGATCAGGCACGTTACTCCTAATGCCTTCTTTTTGCAATTTTCGAATCTGCGGGCTCATGAAATTGTTGCGTCTACACCTGCCTGGGAGCACGGCGGAATGTCTCAGAAGGCATCGTGGAACATACCGCTCTTGGAAAGCTGTCCCTGGAGCAATTTGCTTTACGAGAATACCAGACCCAACGGCAAGTCAAGGGCTGTTAAGAGAATCAATTGTGCATGCCGACCCTTCCTCCCAGCTGACGGCCTCACTTGCTTACCCCTATGATAATAGTAATAGCAATGGTGACAGTAATGGTCATATTAGTAATAATGTTGGACCCTGTTTAATGATAGGGGTCCCCCCCCCCTGAACAATT